TTGTGTTCAATGCAATGCTGTACTTTCTTTACTCGATATAACGTCCGAAAAACAATATGGATTGGCCGCATTATTTTACGTCAAATGTCGTAGCTGTAAATACATTCAAAGCGTCGCCACTGATACTCAACATGTAGTAAATAGCAAACTCCGTTTTGATTGTAATTCCAAATTTGTTGCTGGTAAGTAATGACTAGTCAAATACGATATAATGAAAGTGTAAATATAAATATAGTCAATAATCAATTCTTGAAATTTTGTTTGTTACAGGTGCTTTGAATTCTGGCATTGGCAATACACACTTGAACAAGCTTCTGTCTGCACTCAATATGCCAGAGTTTCATTGGAGTTCATTCAAAACCCATGAACGAGAAGTTGGAAAAATCATTGAAATGATGGCTCAAGAAAGCTGTAAAGATGCAGCTATAGAGGAAAGGCGATTAACAATACAGAATATTGAGGAAGTTAAAAAGCTAAAAGCTGTAAGTTTATATAAGTTTCACCGTTCATAACAAATGAAAATATTCGATAAAAAAAATTGTAAATAATTCAAAAATAATTGTATATAATAATTTTTGATTGTCCATTTCTATAAAGATAATCTTTGATATCTTCGATTGATCGATTTTGCGTATTAATATTTTTCACATCACAGGAATTTATTAAATAAAATTTAGAATAAATTTACGTTTACAAATAAAGTATGCATACACGAAAACTATATATTATTTAGATTCTGTGAATGTACATACATCACTTTTAAAAATCAATAAATAATTGAATTGAAAAATTTTTTATTGGCACGAAATATTTTTTATTACTTTTTTAGACCTCCTCATTTGCAAGAAAAATTTATTTTTCCAGATTCATCGGAAGATGATATTAACAATTTTAATATACTACTTAGTGAACATATAGTACGCATTATTGGACTTTTTGACTTCGGTTGGACTACCAAAGGTTCAGGTCGGAGTTATGACAGTTTTTCGGGAAGAGGTGCTATAATAGGATATTTCACTGGCAAAATAATAGCTTTTATAAGTCTGAATCGAAAATGTAAAAGTTGTGATATGGCGATCCCACTAAGCAAGCATGATTGTAGGAAAAATTTTGTAGGAACAGCAAAAGCTATGGAATCTTTTGCTGCCGGTAAACTCGCTGGCAAAAATAATCTCATTTTTAAAGAATGTTATATTCAAATTGGAGTTATTATTTTAGACGATGATAGCGGTTCCATAAGTGCAATGAGAAAAGCTTGCGAACATGAAATTGTCAAGCATTCCGAAAAAAACCATACAAGCAAAGGAGTCAGTAGTGAATTACATAACTCAAAAGCAAAATTCAAGGAACTGAATGGTGCTGAAATATCCTTTCTTCAGAAGTGCCTAAATTATAGTATTGCCCAAAATAAAGGTAATATCCCTAGCATATCTGCAGCTATTAAAAATATTCCATATCACTGTTTTAATATTCATGATAATTGTGGAAACTGGTGTGGATATAAACTTAATCCTGACACATATAAACATTCTATAATAGGTGACGGTTTCAAAGATGAAAGTTTGTTTAATTTCTTGAAATGTTTATTCAATGTACTCGCAAGTAGGACTAGAGAATTTGCAGCTGGTGCATCAACAAATGCAGTTGAAAGCTTCAATATGTCAGTATCTAACAAAGCTCCAAAGTGTCGTTTATATGGCTTGGGACCATCTGGTGATCAACGCAATAGTACAACCGTAAACAAAAAAAATGAAGGAGAAGTATTTACAGTCAAATGGAATACCAACATGAATATGTCTCCAGGAAAACATACAAAAAAACATGCTCGACGTGTTGATGAAACTGCTAAAAAGAGATATAAGAAATCATTAACTATTTTATTCAAAGCTCAGCGTTTGAACAATAAAAATCGAAGATCCTCAGTTAAGAATAAAACAGAGACAATAGAAGGAGTAACCTACTGTTCAAATATGGGACTTTTGAATAATACACAAGCAATACCAAAAATGAACAATATTGCTGGAAACTCTGAACCAATAGTAGTATTATTTGATTTGGAAACTGGAGGCCTATCAAAAACATCCGATATATTGCAAATAGCTGCTAAACGTGTAACATATGACGCAGATAATCAGATAAATGAAAACAACAGTTTTTCAGTATATGTACAACCAACTAAACAGATATCAGATAAATCAAGTGAGGTTAATAAATTAACTTTTGCAAATGGTCAGCTTATGCATCATGGAGAGCCTGTATTATCAGTCCCTTTATCTAAAGCTATGCAAGATTTCTATGAATTTTTATGCTCATTTAAGAACAAATGTATTCTCACTGCGCATAATTGTACATTCGATTACCCAAGGTTGATGAGAGCTATCGATTTATCATTTATGAGAGAACATTTTCGATCTGTTATTGCTGGATTTTCTGATACATATAGAATAATTAAAAATGTTACCAATAGAAGAGGTAAAGGTCAGAACAAGTTAGAAACTCTGGCAGTTGATTTAGAAATTGATTGTACTAATGCACATGATGCAATTTGTGATGTAGAAGTGTTAGCTCAGATTTTAGTGGAACAAGATATACCTTGTGCAAAGATAATCGAGTCTGCGTTAAGTTTTGGAGAAGTTGAAAAGAAGGAAGATTTGAATGTTAAAATAGCTTTAAATTCACATAAATTAAACCAAATAAAAAATTATACGACAGAAGCAATGAGGAAGAAAATGATTGCTGCAGATATATATTATATTGATATTTTACGAGCTTATAATGAAAATAAATTGCTAGGTTTAGTTTCACTTTTTGGGCGTGATGAAAATGGTGATATCAAAGTAACAACATGCAGAAAAGTAGTCCAAAAAATTTATGAAAACTTATCTGCTGAATTAAATAAAGTTACTATAGTATCTCAATGAATAGACAAAGAATAATAATCTAATAATAGTTTATTGAATCATGATACAAACGTTTTACATCTCTTTTCAACGGTTAGTGTACGACTGAACTCAAAGCCGCATTCAAGTTATTGAATCAAGAATCGATATTCATTTATTAATAACGCAAGTAACTAAGAAGTAACTAAGAACAATACATTACAGTTACCGTAAACAATCAACCAAAAAATTAAAATAAATACATTATTTTTATTAGAAAAGCTAATTCAATTATGTACAAATGTTAGCTATAGGCATTATAAATGCCTTTGTAAGTTTTACCTTTCAGATTTTAGTATACTGTGATGTATTTATGTATAGTTTTTTTTATAACATAATACTTATAATCAAAGAAAACATTTAGCCAAAAAGTTTCTAATTCTCCATTTAATAAAGACTGTTGATTAATCACTAAGAAATTTTAATGATGTACTTTTAAAATAATGGTATGTTGAAACATGTTCCGCTAAGTTTTGTAAGAGTTTATCTATTATTAAAAATAAAATATCATGTAACATAGTATTCTTTATTATTACCTTAACTATTTCGATCTAAAATATTATGTTTTTCAGATAAAAAAAATTAATCAGTAAAGATCATTCAAATTATTTTTTTTAAACTACTCATACGTTTGTATGTGTATACGTATCACAGGCCAATCCGAATGCCGCGCGTTGATACATGCCAATGCGGTGTTGCCACATTGCGATACTCACCGTTGATTTTCCTAATTATTAATTTTTTTTACCTACATGCAGGAACCAAACGTATAATATTATTGAACCCGCATATTCCTTAGATAATTTTTTTTGCTTGAAAAAATTGTGGATCATATTTTAATGGTAGTTTTTTCGATATTATTCGCTAAAAACGCGATTTCTCATAAGACTCCATGTTAAACTTGTTAACATTAAAAACATCAATAACTTTTATATAAATTACCCTGGGCTCTCAAAATTTTTACTGAGTTTATGTTGTTAACATATCTAACTATGGTAGAAGTTTCATCAAAATGGTAATGGTAATTCTTGTACCGCTAGTACCTCCTTAACAAGGGAACCACCCCAACCCGACCGATTTTAATGATTTTTGAATATACTTAACATACTGTCTTGATTCCCTTATAGTTTTCTTAAATGATAAAATTTGTAATAATGGAAAGAAGGGAAATAGTGAGAGCTGAAAATTCACTTAATTTTAATTGAATTCAGCAACGTTTCGTTAGCACATTTGCTGACTTCTTCAGGCTAGATTAACAAAAAATAAATTATTAACAATAAAATTGAAAATGTAATTTTAATGGCATATAATTATATGTATATGTGTGTACCGGATTTCTCTCGTAGTCAAATCATTATAGGCTAAAACGAATAGCTCGTAGCCAGTCACGTTACAATACAGTAAGAAATCAAGTATTTCAACACACACACACACACACACACACGCACACACGCACGCACACACACACACACACACACACACACACCGATTAGATAAAAAAGTATTTTTTTGTTAATATGATGATAATTCGTATGTGAAATAAAAATTATAATATTTAGTATTTAGAAAAATGTGAATTTCTTATTATTAATAAAATGTGGTAGCCAAAGAAGTCAATTTATAAAAATCTATCGTTTGTTTTTAGGCAATATGTATTGTAATGTTTTTGTTTGTTTTCATTTTTATCATTTTGTATTCAAAATACGCTTCCCTCTAAAATCCCTAGAAATCACCTGCTCATGGCTTGCTGCGCAGTAGCTCATGACATAACCTATTTCAACGTGTGATGGTGTCAGAATTCATGTCATATTTAAGTGTTAGAATCGTTCTGCGAACACCCGCAGAGACGTTCTTTAAACACCCTAAACTAACTGCACATTACAAATGTTTAATACGCATGCGCAAAACTGGTTTATCGTTGTAATCGAGTATTGATTATGTTATTTCAATTATTCTTAAAAAATATTATAGTATTTTTATAAATCATTCCGCAGTAAATTAATTTGAATAGTGAGCAATTTTTTCAGATGTTGAGATTTAAAAAATATTAATTTATAACAAGCTATTATTTCATAAAGTTAGTTAAAAAGTTTGAAAATTCGATAATTTTTTCTTTTGATATGTAAATGGGGCAAATTATTTTGAGTACATAGGCTATCTAAGCAAAATTAGTTTAATAAGAACATTTTTTATTTTTTATTTTGAGTATTTTCCTGAGCAAATCTAGGAGGTGGGTGGAGGGGATCTTTTTCTTAGCTCAACCTAGCCACGGTGCCAAAGAGACTACGGGATTGTAGCATCGTGGTTGTGTTGAATTTCAAGTTTCTTTTTTGTGGCAATCGAAGCAATAATCCACGATAATGTATAATGACGACTATACAGATCAGGTAAATACTTTTCTTACATATGAAAATATGAATAATTATATAATTTCTATAACATAGTTTTTGATGGTTGTACGTTTACAGTACGATAATTACGATGAATATGGATTACCAGATGATCATCTTGATTCTTATAACCGAAACTACCGACAAATACCGGAAGTTGTAAAAAAATTTTTAAGTTATTTGCGGAAATGCATTAATGAAGGAATGATTTTTGAGATTCAAAATCTGTATGAAAATACTTTTCCAAAACTTTCAGAGCAGCTTTTTGAAAAATCTTCTTGGCCAAATGATCAAGCCATCAGTCATCTCGTAGACGATGATCATGTCTTTCTTACATTATATATGGAACTTTATTATCGACATATTTATGCTCGTATGCAACCTAATTTAGATCAACGTATTAGTTCTTTTTGTAACTATTGTGAACTCTTTAATTATATTTTGAATTCATCTGAACCTGTACCCCTTGAATTACCTGATCAGTGGTTGTGGGAACTTATTGATGAATTTGTTTATCAATTTCAATCGTTCACTCAGTATAAAGCTAGTTTATCACAAAAGTCACCAGATGAAATTGAAACTCTTGCTACCAATAGCAAAGTGTGGGATGTTTTATGTGTTTTGAATGTTTTGCATTATTTAATTGATAAATCTAAAATTAAAAGTCAACTGGAGGTTTATGCTAGTGGTGGAGATCCTGATTCTGTTGCTGGAGACTTTGGCAGACATTCATTGTATAAAATGATGGGATATTTTTCTTTAGTTGGTTTACTAAGAGTACACTCGCTATTAGGAGATTATTATCAAGCTATAAAGGTTTGAATTCATTTGTTTTAATATTTAATTGTCTTACTTTAGTAGTAATGTTTTTTAATGTTATAACATAGGTTTTAGAAAATGTAGAGCTATATAAAAAAAGTGCATATTCTCATGTGCCAGGATGTCAAATATCAACTGCTTATTATGTTGGTTTTGCATATATGATGATGAGACGTTATGCTGATGCAATTAGAACATTTTCGGGTATTTTACTTTATGTCCAACGAACAAAGCAACTCTTTGCTTCAAGAAGTTATCAGAATGATCAAATTAACAAACAAACTGAACAAATGTACCATTTACTGGCAATTTGTCTTGTTTTACATCCCCAATGTATAGATGAGGGATTGCAACAAGCTTTGCGAGATAAAAATTATCATGAAAAAATGTATAAAATGCAGTGTGGTGGCTTGGAAGAATTTGAATCATGCTTTCAATTCGCATGTCCTAAATTTCTTTGTTTACATCCTCCGAATCCTGACAACCCTAATGAAGATTATGTCAGAGAAGCAATTAAGCATCAAACTCATGTTTTTATGGAAGAAGTTATACAACAAAAAATGTTACCTACCATTCGTTCTTATTTAAAACTTTATACAACATTACCTTTGAGTAAACTAGCAACATTTATGATTAATAATCAACAAAGTGAAAATATAAATGTGAACGAAGAAGTTGCAAAACTTACTATATATCTCCTTTGTTTTAAACACAAAATGAAAAATATCGTTTGGACGAAAGGTTCTTCTGGATTAGATGGGAAATTCCAATCAGGTTCAGAGGTATAAATTTATTTCTTATTTATTTCCATGGCATCAAAGCAAAACAGTTTAAATTATATAGACAGATATTTTATCTATTTGATTATAATAATAAAGAAATATTTTATTTTTAATCATATATAACTAGTAATGTAGCTATTTGGAAAGGAAATTACTAATGAAATAGCTAACATAACTATAAGTTTATCAATTTGCTTTCTATAGATTGTATCCCCTTTAACATCTGAGATTTGTTACAAGTAGCTTTTTGAAATCTAACATCATTTTGAAATCCAACAATCTAATACATATTTGTTCTCTTGGTTAACTTCAGTAGAAAATAATAATAAATTACTAAAGAAATATAATTGTTATATAGATTAAGCATTGAACTTACACTCCCAGTTTATTAATTTATTATTTACTTAATTTTAGGAAATCTGAAATCTTTTCTACAGTTACCCTCTCGTTTTTTATTTTAATATATTTGAATTAAAAAATATTGAAAAAAAATAATGACAACTTGCTCTTCTGATAAAAAGTAGTTTTATTCAAGTTTTTCTACTCTTTTACCTAATGAAGTTCTTATTTGAAATCAGTTAATATAATGACAAATGAATGATATTGATATAGAAAATAATCTCTTTCTGTCTAATTGGAGCAAAAACAAATTTCAATTTAAAAGTTTATTGTAGAACTATAAATCAATTATTTTGGCTACATATGTATTTACGTATGTGTAACATGTTCTTTAAATAACATACTTCATAATGCTTACGAAAATTATTTAAAATATCTCCAATGATAAAAAAGTTGTAAGTTTGTGAGTATAAATAAAATATATTTAAACTTATAAACTTGTTGGTTTGGTGCCAGATTTTTCAGATTTATTAATAAATATTAATTTTAAATGTTTTTATTTTCTAGCTTGACTTTTACATTGATAATTATATGATTCATATAGCAGATACAAAAGTTGCTCATCGTTACGGAGATTTTTTCATTAGAAAAATTCTGAAATTTGAAGAGTTAAATAGAAAATTACATCATATAAAAATATAAAAGTTTGTAATTTCATTTTATGCAACTGTATTCTATTTTTTGTCTGAATAAGAATTTCTTGAAATAAAATCACATGTAAATTAAATTGCATTTCACCATGCTCATAACGAAATTGTATTTTACTTTTGGATTATTTGAATATGTATAAATTAATACAAAATATTTGTCACATAATAATAATAATTGATTTAGATCGTTTTACTATTACATAAAGGGTGCGGGAATCCAGTTCCGGGTACGTACTCGGAACCTGTTTTTAGTTATTTTGGTACTAATTATAATAAGGTCGTAAAATATAGCAGGAATGTACTGGTATGGATGACAATTTTCTCTTATATTCCAAAAATATCGTTGTCGGAATGTTCCTGATGTGAATTGTTGGAGGTATCTGGAATGTATACCTGATATTAGAGATGCCAAAAATAAACTTTCCTATCACTGCTGGGTACTAACATAAACGAATTGGGTACGAAGTCAGGTGGGACACATTGGTACTTATCAGCAACGATTTGGTATCAACTTTTACATATGGAAAAAACGCTATGTTCTTGCACTCTATTACAATTTTTAGTACGTATTCGGTAAGTACTGAATTACTAATATGAAAAAATTAACTCATTTATTTAATTAAGTGAAACATTATGAACTATATAATTTGTTTCAAAAATGTACACACGTTATAAACAATTCTCTTTGTCAGCGCAAGCGCATCACTCTTCTTTACCGGGCCAAGAGAGACGTGACCACATAGCGCTGAGCTAATTGAGCTGAAACATATTGACAATGAGTTAAATGAACTGAAACGTACATAGCTAAACTATAGAAATCTAATTTATCATTAATTGTACAACTCGCCGATATCACTTGTGATATTTTGCGCTTGAGTTCGTGCCTGTAATGTATCCTAAATCCAAATTAATAACTATCGCATCTCATTTACTTCTATTCGTGTCTATAATTCCTGTAATTTTTTTTATATTTTATGTGCAGCTTTTAAATATTTTCCCCTGGTGCGGTAGATTTATCTCACTCTGCATGATTATGCTACATTACTTTTCAATTAAATTTTTCAGCAGAAAACTTACGATTTTCTGAAAATGAAGTACAATTTCAAATAAAAAAAATTAAATTAGAAATGCATCAACTAACAACACTAACAAAATATTATAAATAATTAATTATCATAATTAATTCTTGTTTTATAAATATAAGGTCGATAAAGAATAATTCATGGTTGTGAAAGTCGGAAAATGAGGGAAAATGCGTAGGTCAACTCTTTCGGTCTCCGGCTGCCATTAGCGATGTTACGAGCCAGTACACGGTTATTTGTTGTTGGGCACCAGCTAAGGCCTTCGCGAGTAAGCGATTAACGCTGAGAACAGCTAGGCATCGTTTGCTATCGTTTCGATGATGGATGTTCATTAATCCATCTATAGTATTGACTAAGCCTATTCTATAACCTGTAGCAGAAAAAATCCAGTTTCTATTACGTAAAGACTTCTTGAATTTTGTAACGGGGTAAGATATTTGGTGGGCTACGCGGTGTATGGGTTTGCGAGCAAGCCTCTTCATATGCGCAACAATAATCGCGAATGGCGTAAGCGTCACTGTGACGTCATGCAATGGTGTTTGCTTTAGCGGCGCTTCGTGCCTTTATCAAGGATTGCCTCCTCGGGTAATCACAATCGCGTCCTTTGTAGTAACCTCGCCCCGTGATCTTACCTTGGGTGTAAGCCCATTGCTTCTGGGTGAAGTCCCCGTTGATAGTTGCCGTTGGTTCGATTACAAAACGAGACCTGTGTGTCGGAAATTATTTTAATACATGGCAGATGCGGGCGCCTCTTTCTTGTCGCTGCCACGCGCACGCAACGATCGTTCGCCTATAATGAATTCGTGATCAGCACACAATTATCACCCTGTGAGAGCTCACATGAAATCGATCGGTGATTTAACTTCTAATACGCGCGTATATCACGTGGAGCTAGCCAGCTTACTTCGCGGGTACTGCTTTGTTTGCGTGTGTCGCTTAGGCTATCTTTCCGATCACCGAAGTTAGCTGTTCGAAGTCGGTTGTCCACTGCAGCTCTCTCTGTCTCAGGATGCCTTTTCAGGTTAGGGACATCGAATTAGTTCACAATCCTGATGTTCGTTTCGCGTTGCGGTTCAAAAACAGGTGTCGATTCTGTCGCAATAAGTGCGTATCCTCGAGAGTTCTTTCTTAGACTGACTTTTTCTATCTCACTCTCTCTTTTCGTATGCGGCGCGCACTCTCCATTCATGGCCGGTAAGTGCTATCCCTTGGGCAGTTTCCCTGACGAGACGACTGCGTAAATATAACGTTCATTATAGGCCCCTTCTAGTCCGGACCATCAGGGAACTACGCCACCCACGTCGAGACAGGGTAAGAAGGAATGCAATGATGAGTCATTCTTTTTTTAATAATTTTATTGCCAAAGGAATCAAGGTCTATAGTCGGCATGGAAGCCGGCCGCTTCCTCTTCTCCCTCTTCATCGAGACTGGGGCGGCCTCTGGCCTCCTACTCCAGTCTCTTCGCAACTATTTATGGGTGTTGCTGGGCACGAGGGCACCTGTTGTGTGGTTCACTCCAGGATAGTAGCAAATATTGCACCCTTCCCATTATGCCCGCGCGTCAATGATAGCCCGTCCCTGCAGTCGGGTGCCGACCACAAGGGGAGTTTGAGCGGTGGTTCAACTGACAGGTCCATTACGACGTTGATGCATATGGGGCCCGTGTATTGTTTCTCGTGAAAACCACCGAGATTCACAGCAAGGTTCATTCCCCCACGGCTGTGACCATGAGACACCGCCACCGTAGGTATTGACTCCCGTGTCACTGCCCTGGAGGTTCCGCAAAGGTCGAGACCTCAAGAGCCTGTCGCTGTCGCTGCTGCAGGCTCTTCAGCGCTGGGGCATATTGTCGCCAGCGTGCCACCAAGCTGGCCCAGTCCTTTGGTCACGAACACGTCGAACGCCTGGTGCACGGTACATTGTAGCTGAGAGTGTTCTAGTCTTTCTTTACTTCTCGCAGACCCCACATAATTCCCGACCACGACCGATGTTCATCTTGAATGACATGGTTGCGAATAGACTCCAGACTCCATGTCGAGTCGATGGTTTCGTCGTCCGTTTGGATGGACATCGACCTCGTTGGTACGCGACCCGGTATCGGCTCCGAGGGCGGTCCCAGTCCGCCGTGGTATCCTCACGGGAAAACCCTGAGAATGTAGACGGGATCTGCATCTTGTCATCATCGATTTCCTCGATCTGCACGGACGACAAGCCCTCGTGGGCTCATGCCCGTGCCTGCTCCTCTTTTTTATGAACCGCGCTTACGAGCTGCAGAGCGGCTCGGACAATTCCGTCCACGGTGGGGCCCAGACCTACGCAGATCAGGGCGACTGCCGCTTACTCGATTGCTCGAGCGTGATCTTCATCCTATAACAGTCTTCGACATCAGTAAGAGCATTTTGATCTTAAATATCGAAGGTGGGTGCCTTCTCGGCTGCCCAGGGTTTTCGTCGCTAGGAATAGAGGTGGGATCATTTTCGTCGGTTTCTTGGGGTCTCCGCTCATAGGGCCTCATGCAGTAGCGGCTGGCATTTTCAGGGGTTGTTTCCTCCTTTTCTTCGGAACGAACAAACATAGCAGATGTTGCGGGTGAACTCCCACTCTGACTGTTTGGACGTTTTTGCGGGGTCGTCCTCATGGAACTCCCAACTTTATTCGCTGGAGTCGGAGTTCTGACCTCGTTGGATTTTCTCGGGGTTTCCTCCGGTTCATCATGTGGAGCTTTGTCGGGCGGATTGGTGCGCAGGCGACGCAGATGATTCGAGTTCATCGCGTGATCTTTCTGAGACACGCCCTTCTCATTCGCGACGTGTTTGTTTTCGCTGGGCGGTGATTCACTCGCTAGAGGTGGGTCTCTCATCACCTCTGCTCCATCGGTGGTCGGGATGGCGTCGTCATGTAGCACTCAGGTCATGACAATGCCCTCCGTTGGTGTATCATCAGGTGCATAATACGGTTTGAGGTCCTTGGCGTGTACCAATTTCTCAATCTTCTCCTGTTGGTTAGTGAGGCGGTAGGTGTTAGCTCCAAATGCCTTAACGATCACGTAAGGACCTACAAGTGCCAGTTTCTCGGATATGCCTTCGGCCGTGCTAGACAGGACTCGGTTCCTTTTCCATACCCAGTCTCCTTCCTTAAATTCTGACGCCCTTCGTTTAGCGTTAAAGTACTTTGCCTGGCGTAATGATTTCTCTGAGGCGGTCTCTCGGGTCTCCTATATGGCGAATCGATTGTTCCGCATGTGCTCGTCCTATTATCTCAACCTACACAGGTTGTGCCCTCATCTTGGGCCGCGAGCTCATTCTTCTTCCCTTCGAAGGGTTGGGTTGGGTTTTAGGAGCTTCCGGCTGCCTACTGTAGTTGAGCATAGCGGGTCTGGTCCTCGTGGAGCTAAGGATAGCGGTGTTCAATGCAATCGCGAATTCAGGTAAGAATCGATCCCATTCTTTGTGATTTCTCCGAAGGTATGACGTGATTATCGTCCTTAGTGTGTGGTTAACCCTTTCCGTAGGGTTGGATTGGTTTGGGGGGGGGGGGTTTAAGTCGGTGTAAACATCCGGTTCACTCCCTGCTCTTTCAAGTAACTGTCTACAAGCTGATTCTTGAATTCTGTACCGTTTCTGGATAGGAAGATCCTAGGCGCACCAAAGCGCATCATCACTCGTTCCCTAAGTTCTTTCACAATCGTCTTACTATTTGCGCTGCGTGTGTGAACATATTGTATCTATCGCGTGAATTAATCGATGAATACGAGTACATAGTCATGTCTCGAGGATTGCGAGGAAATGGGCCGGCAATGACGCTAGCTACGACCTGCCATGGTGCTGACAACGCCCAGTAATTCATCAACCCGCGTGGAAGCTGCTGCTCTACCTTGCACTGACGGCATACTTGGCACTTCCTGACATACCCTACCTTTGATGTCATTATACGAGGGTGGTCCGATAAGTACTTAGCCTACAAAAGAAAAACGAAAATTTTGGAAAAGTGGCATTTTATT